GGGATCGGAGATGCAAAATGTTCTGTGAATGCCTTTAAGTTAACTGATTTTAGCATTTAAACCATTGTGTTTAGCTTATGAACATAATAATCCGGTGGATCCATCAATTTATCAGCTGCCTTTTTTTGGAAAAAAAAAGATTTTAATTGATTTTCGTTGCAGTTGTCATCTGTGAAAAAGTGCTATGAATTAAGGACATGGTTGTAAACAAAGCTCTTCTTTTGATTCAATAAGTGGCTTGTTGGTGTTCTTTGAAAGAAACTGTTACATTGATTAAACATCCTGAAAATATGACCTGTGGTGAGATACTGTTATTATATTTTTGATTAGTTAATTGATGGAGGATTTAGAAACAATTAATGTTAATGATTAGGGGTAAGTGTGGCATGTTGAGAGAAAGTACATATGCCTTGTTCCATGTCAGAGAGAAGGCTTGAACTTGTGTCAAATGTAGAAAAGTCGTGGGCACTGCATCGAAGGTGGAGTGGATCCCAAATTCCTTGCTTCAGGGGACTCTGAGTGAGTGCAGATTATTTACAGTGCATAAACCTGTGCAATGTAGCATCAGTATGGAGGGACCCTGGCAATGCCAGTGATGACAATATAACAGCATTGGCATTTCCCCACGTCCTGGACTAAAATATGTAACCTGCTAAAAGTCAACTTAAAACTTCAATCGGAAGAAAGCCATAAAGACTTCTTTTATATCAGGTTTTAAACCTTGGACTCATGCCATTGAACTCTGATTTATGCTGGTGAAACAGGATGTGAAATCAAAGAACAAAAATCACCTCTACTTTGACTTGACTTATTAGATCTGACTGCACAGTAGCTTGGGTCTGGAGGGAGATAGCTCCTCTGGTAGTAAGGTTAGTTATTTCATGAGATCATGACATGAACAACCAAATAGGACATGAACCACCAAAGCTCTTCCTGGATTTAGTACATTAAAGAGCTCTTGGGAAGGATGGGAATCCAAAAGTCACCTACCTTTGACCCATCTCTCTGAACAATATTTAATTGTAAAGACCTCTTTGTTTGATGGTAGGTGCTTGGTAAAATATGCACTCTGTTGTGCTGACCCATATATACATGTATGTAGCATGCAGTAAATGGGATGGCCATCGTTAACTGATGTGCATGTATGCAATTCTGCATATTGCATTGACCTTTCCAACAAACTGTTAACATCTTAGGTTTGACAAAGTTCTCATATTAGGGAGGTATGAAAACCTCAGTCCAAGGTTCCTGTTTCTCCTCCTCCGTCTTCTTCTACAATGACCTTGTTTTCATTCTGTGTTCCATTTTTACTAGGCAGTGGATTGAAACCATACATGTCTCATGTACACTTTCCATTCTGAGATGTCAGTGATCAGTTCTGTTTTATGACAGCTCACATGTGAGGAATTCTATTTTAAAGCTGTTATAGAGTCCAATCTTGCTACAGTCCCTGTGTCTTCCTAGGGGATGCTTCTTATCCATGACTGATTTCATGACCAAGCACATTTACTTGGAAGTACGTGTAAAAAGAAAAATCTGGCTTCCTCCAAGTCTCCTGCTGGAGATAGCGTGGGTACAAATTGCAGTGTAATCCTATGCATACCTACTCAGAAGCCCAGCAAATAGATATAAGATAGGACAGCAGCCCTACACATTCTGGGAAGAAAGAGCAAATACTATAATATTGGTTACGTCGAATGTCATTTATATTGTAACTTAAACATTTTGCATTATAATACTTTACTTATGTCAGATTTGCCATCATCATTCATACTTGAGGATACCCACTACTTAACTGCATTTCCTTGGCACCCAGGAAATAAAGTATTAATGATTTAATGATTTAAATGATTCAGTCCTAAATATTCTCACAAAAGAATACATTTGAGGAGTTTTCAGTCAAATCATTTTGTTTACACGTCACATAGAGGAAGGGTGCAAACCTTATTCATGTTCATTTTTCACATATGCCACTAGATATGTTTGATAAATATGACTGTTGTATCAAAACATTGGATTTTTTAATCTCATGTGACCACTTAAATGTGACTTTATGGTCCAACCATAATCTAGAGCACCCTTCTTCAACCTTATGTCCTTCAAATATAGTTGGACTATAGCCTTATTGGAGTTCACCAATTGGGTCTGCATTGCTCCGGGACAGGAAGAAGGAAGTCAAATGACACTGAGTTGGTTCAAAGAAAGAGTTTATTCCGCTCTGGATAGCAGAAGGCACTTGCGTGGTGAGTCCACAGTAAGTCCAAAGAAATGACAAGTTTCATGCAGTATATATATCCTCCAGGCACCCTCTCCCTCCTCCCCTAGGAGCCCAACCATGTCAGCCTATGTACGCAGGTTGACATCACATATGTTCCTGCTCTGGTACTCTCAACCATAAAAGGATCTTCCTTCCTATACTTCTGACCATAAAAGGATCTTCCTCTTCCTACTCTTATCTGGGAAGAGGTCATGATCTCCAAGAACACGCTTTTGGCGTTTTTCCCGGACATCGGTCTGCGCGTATTTTGTGGCTAGCACATAAGATAAAGTACTGACGTGTTTTCTTTGTTCCCCTAAAGAGCCAGGGTCATCCCTTGCCGTGACTGATAAAGGAGAGAGCTTGTTTATGCAGCTGTGTCCTTATTATGCTTTTGCTCAACAGCTCAAGTTTTACACATTTTAAAATGCTCTCTTTTGAAAGAACAAAAGGGGGGGGTTGAGTCAGTTTTAAACTTGCTACACAGAAACCCATTCCTTCAGGACTACAACTCCCACTCTCCTTGACCATGGGCCATATTGGTTGTGGCAGATTGTAATGGGAGTCCAACATTATCTGAAAGAAATCAGGTTAGAGAAGGCTCCTCCACTTTGCATGGTGATTGTAGAGTCTCTAGGAGTTGTTTTTCATCCAACTGTGGTATCTTATAAAAGGATACAAAGCCTATATATGGCTGACACAGATTTTTAAAGCTGGTTTACATGATGACTGTTCCAGTGAGGTGAACCGAAGGACCAACTGAGGGGTTTTTTTTTATACCACCAGAGATCTTTCTCCCCACCATATAAAGTCATGTGCATGTGGTGGGAGGAATCATTACTGCTAATCATAAATAGTTCTCTTTCTGGCTGACACCAGCATTGGGTTTAAAGTGGCCTCCATGTGGTGGCTAATATTGTGGAGAATATTAATCAAAACAAAATAGTTAAGAATCTCTGCAGGAGTCAAAGGTGAAAACAAAGCCTACCAAAAGCTGGATGGGTCAATCCTGCTAAAGAAGGGAAGATGAAACTGACCGCAGCCTTTTCTGAAATTATTTCTTCTATGTGTGTTGTGGGGGTTGACCCTGATCTGATAGTTACCCCTTTAAAAATGCTACCTCCTCCTTATGGAACATCTGATTACTATCATCAGCTATGCTGTATATGAAAGGCTTCAAAAGAGGCCATACTTTTGTATATCATCTGAACACGAAGTGTAATGCCCATTATGATAGTATTCATGGGGTTCAGGACACAATAGCTTTGGCTTTTATGAGAGATGTTTAGGAAGAAACAAAGGCACAGATCCCCAAGTAACAATGGCAATTCAGCTGGAACAAACAGTAATCTTGGAGGAGTTTTCATTCCTGCCAGTCTATAAGAGATTCTTTACTCAAAGGCAAACACCATAACTTATTTCTTTGAGTACTGTGACATTGCACTCACTCTGCCTTTGAAATATATCCGGTCTACTTGTTTTTAGATGCTGTGGTTTCTAAAGACCATTCTCAGCATGAAAAAGCCCTGCTTTATTTGACTCTTTCAGGTATGATTTTCAAATGGGAGGTGTCTCAAAGTCAAAAAAACACTCCATAGCCAAAACAACACAGCTATCATATATCTGATGGGAACAGCTTATTTATTTAAATTTTATTAAGAGAAACCTGTACTGCCCTTCACCAAATATGACCACAGTTTACCAAAATATGAACATATAAAAGCTTTATAACATAATAAACATAAACATTTAAACAATACACATAAGTTACATAAAACTGCTCACCTTCCCAGGGGGGCGGAGTTGCAGGCTGGACACGAACACTCCCTGTGTACAGCAGGGGGCGTGGTGATGCCGCTCGCATCATTGGGAGTCCTGGTCGACCAGGGGCGTGGCTTTCCTGATTTAAACATCTGCACGGCCGGGGACTCAGTCTCCTTTTCTCCTCCTGCGTTGCCCCTCGCCCTATTTTAATGCATTCACCATCTTGGCCTTGCTATGGACTACAGTTGGTCTGTTGAGGAGGCCAAGTAGGAATTTTCCTACTTGGCAAACTGGCACCAGCCATGTGGTTTTCACTTACCTTGTAGCAATCATCACAACTTTGTAAGGTTTGGCGGTTAGGCATTGATAAACCTGGTTTATGGGAGGGGAGGTTGTGGCCTTCACCTGCCTCTCCTCTTTAAGGGTATTTCGTTAAAGAGATCCAGGGGTGTGGATCCTGTCCAAAGCTCTGGTATGAGCTAGGGTCATGCCACGACCCCATCAGTGACCCTGGGGGAGCTGGAAGTTGATGTACATCAACAGGGCTCCCCCTACTGGTAGTTGACCCTTAAGAGACTTCCTGTGGATGTGCAGGAGTCAGGATATAGTCTGGTTTCACCCAATGCCTAAGCCAAACTGCTCACATCTGTAACCAATAATGTTGTCGCCTAATTTATCCCATTAACCCAAAATATTGGTGTCCATGTGTTTCATTATCTAAGAAATGGGGTGGGGCTTGGGGGCTCACCATGCAATCAACATCATGACATAACACAACAACTTCTATAAGCCCACAAAAAGTGGGGGGTTTTCTACCTGATCTCTTAAAGAAAGGGGCAATATCAGTGGGGAGGCAATTCCACATTCAGGAACACCCCCCATTTATTCTCCTGAAATATTTAAAGCAGTTGAGATAAAAATAGCATAACAACATTTCCTTTCACTCCTAAAATACCAGTTACAATATGATCCCAACCATTGATCCATAGCTTAGTGGTATAGCATCTGCCTTGCAAGCAGAAGGGTCAAGGTACAATTGCCAGGTAGGGCTGGGGCAGATTTCTGCCTGAAACCATGGAGAGCTGTTGCCAGCCAGTGTAAACAGTACTGAGTTAGATCGATCAAAGGGTCTGACTCAGGGCAAATATGTTGAGTGCAGGTTTTTTTCCCCATTTCTCATATTTTCTTCAGTTCTCAGTTCAGTTCAGTTAGTTCTTCCGGACAGCTCACGGAAGAACCCCGACCAAACCTAAGAGGAGGTGTGTAGTGG